GACCCATTTTTGTCCTGACTATAGAAGTGTGTGTGTGGGGGGGGGGGGCTTTGATGGGGCCCTTCGTTAGCTGGCTCTACCCCCCAGCATCAGCGCTGGTCTGGTGAAAACAGGAGCTTCCTGTCGTGAAGGAATGATTGTTTTCTCCCGTCCGTCAGAGCGCTCCTCTCGTACGGTTGTTGTGAATCACCTCGTTCAGTTCAGCAGCTCGGGAGCAGAACCGTCTCCCGTGGCCTTAAATCCTGCTTCTGATTAATTCATCTTTGTCTGTTGGAAATGATTTAATTAGGACGTTAACTTGTCAAATCCTAAAATGCAGTTTGTGAAAATAAATGAGCTTGTTGTTCCATAAACACTTGTGACACGAGCAGGTCCGTTAGCCGAGCGGTGGCCTTAGAGGGCATCTTCAGAATTGGGGCATGAGCGAATCTAACCCCTCTGAGTATCGCCATCCTTCCTTCTGTACGGCTGCTTCCTGGAAGTGAGCGTTCCTGAGAAAAGTGGGTCTGTGTGGGGCATTAGGGAAATATCCAGCTTCAGTCTGAAGTGCCGTTAGACGCCTTCATGCCTGCAGAGCGCTGAGGGTGGCTTCCTCGGTTTGTCCCGATGAGACGAGAAGCGTTCAGCTCACCAATAAACGTGGGAAGTCTTAATAAGGAAGCTGCCGGAACAAACGAACGAACGCTAACTCGTGCTGGTGCATCTTCTACGTGATACGTGTCTGATATAAACAGAATCGCTGTCATTTGGTGTTCTTGTTGACCTCAGACGGACCTGCCGGTCCTCTTTCCATAATAACTGAGACAATACGTATCCTGTCCTCACACAAGGTCAGATAAACTGTCATGAAATAACATTAACCTGCACTCTGTCATGGCAGAACATCTTAAAAGCACTTCACGGAGTCAACTTGTACAGGATAATCAGAAACAGACTGATTTAGGGCAAGAAACGGCAACAAAACTAACGTGGGCTGACCATGTTGTTTTTCAAGTTCAAGGAAAGGTCACACCAGCACCGTACACAAACCGCTATAGCTCCAAATACAGCCACATCCGTGCTGGACAACACCTCTGCACGTGCACGTTGCTAATTTGAGATTTGAAGCACATTAAACACACGCCAATGCAAAAGTGCTTGAAATCCTCCCAAGTGCTAAATTACCGTTTGCCTGTAAAACGTATGTTGAAGCAGAAACACCCAGATGAAGAGTCTTCCTGCCGGTGGAGGTGGATCTCACAGACCGACTAGTCTGGTAGAAAAAAAATATCTCTGAATTGTGAGACAATGCATGAATTTTCAGCTGCAGTCTCACTGAACCGAGTGTTGTCAGCAGCAAGCTGTGGCATCATTTTATGCAGCCAGTTTAGGAAAATCATACTGTTTTTGTGTGCACGGCTTGTAAATCTGTAGTTTTGGCCTTGCACATTATTTTGTTTGGGTTGTAGACCAGACAGGACCAGGACCTACCCTTATAAAAAGTGTTGGGACTGCAGTAAATCACAGACCGTTATATTTGAAGTACACCGCATTGTTCTGCTGCTAATAATATATTTGGTTGATCCTACGGACTCACTGGACTTGATGCCACTGAGTTTGGACAGAAGAGAATGTGGGTTTATCCAAACTGATGTCGGAACTAAACATCACACAGAAGAAGTTTTGCTGACAGGTTCGATGTGCGTTAACCACTCTGGGACTGATTCAAAAGACAGGACATGCTAAAACTTCGTGAACGTGTTCAAAATCCAAGCGACACGGCTGCATGCTTCTGCAACTCGTGCAAGAAAAATTACTGTATTTTCCGCCGAACACGTCACATCAGTCCAAATATGTCTGATAAATTGGAAAAATCCATAAATACGTCGCTTCGCCGTATAAGTCGCATCTGTTATGAGTTACCGCTGATAACCCGGAAACGTGGGCCGGTGTTGTGCCAAAAACCAACTGGCTGCCAAATGGCAGCTGCGGGAACGTACATGGGAGGACTTTAACAAGAATTTAACAAGATCAACACTTAAAAACAATGATTTGTTTGCTCGACGTTATAGTAAAGATGTGTCTCAGTTTAACTTTTACTTAATAAATGCACTTCAATGGTCAAATCAGCTTCATTTAGCCGTGGTGGTGCAGAGAAATGAAGCAGATCTGACGGTTGCTCCAAGCGAGCTGGACGAGTAACGTTTTTTCCTCCCATGTTTATAAACCAATTTTTGGCTGATATGACCGTTTTCATTCATTCTGACTGAAAATATTGAACACTACCATTTTCTACCACTATTATATGGCAAGCTGATTGTGTCATTAATAGCCACGTTTACCTATTACATGATACAACGGCATGCCATACAGCTCGAGTGCCATCTAGCAGCTGAAAATGGTAGTGTTCAATATTTTCAGTCAGAATGAATGAAAACGGTCATATCAGCCAAAAATTGGTTTATAAATATGGGGAGAAAAACAAAAACAAACGTTGCTTCAGCGTATAAGTCGCAGGGTATGCAATCATGCAAAAAACTGCGACTTATAGGGCGAAGAATACGGTAAGAACCTTGCGAAGACTAGTAAATAATTGCAAGACTAATATTCTGAGCCCTTTGAGACACCACCTCAACTCCCTGATTTGATGCTTGTGTCAGAAAACGTAGCCAGGATGTGTTTTTAAAAGTCTGACGTGTCCTTTCAGGTTGCAAGATTAAAGCCCTGCGAGCCAAAACCAACACCTACATCAAGACCCCCGTCCGAGGAGAGGAGCCCGTGTTCCTCATCACCGGTCGGAAGGAGGATGTTGCTCTGGCCCGTCGGGAGATCATCTCTGCTGCGGAGCACTTTTCAATGCTCCGGGCGTCTCGCAACAAGCTGGGCGTGTCCTTCAGCGGCTCCCCGCCCACACCACTACCGGGCCAGACCACCATTCAGGTGAGAGTGCCATACCGTGTTGTTGGGCTGGTGGTGGGGCCGAAAGGTTCCACCATAAAGCGCATCCAGCAGCAGACCTGCACGTACATCGTCACCCCCAGTCGAGACCGCGACCCCGTCTTCGAGATCACCGGGTCGCCGAGCAACGCCGAGCGGGCCCGAGAGGAGATCGAGGCGCACATCGCCTTTCGAACGGGAGGCCTGCATGACCACAACAACGAGAACGACTGTCTGGGGCCCAACGGCGGAAGCAGCCCAGTGGGCAGCACCGGTGGTCTGGAGAGCCGGCTACAGCAGGTGTGGGGGCTGCAGGGGGGACAGCGCAAGCCTCTCACCAGCAGCTACCGCCAGAACTTCTCAGACGCCATAGTTGGAGGAGGGAGTGGAGGAGGCGGTGGAGAGGGAGGGGGCATGTACAACAAGGGCAACTACTCCAGCTCCGGAGACAAACCTTGTTCCTATTTTGGATCGGAGGGTACCCAGGGCTGGGGCGACCCCGACTACCCCAAACAGGTGTCCTTTTACACCCAGCAACGCTCCAAAAGCTTCGGGGGCCTCCCACTGCCCCTGACCAGACTGTCCCCGGGCTTGGCCGAGCCCTGCGGCGGCACCGCCAACAACTCTTCAGTCACCAGCATCGTGTCGGGCTCACCTCACGCCCAGGCCCGCCGCGCTCACAGCGAGCCCACCTCAGCCGGCGAGGGCTTCCCGGGCCGCCTGCCAGTGCCGGACTCTCCGCCGGCCATCGTGCGGGACTGCATGACCTGCTTCGAGAGCAAAGTGACGGCCGCCTTGGTGCCCTGTGGCCATAACCTGTTCTGCATGGAGTGTGCCATCCGGATCTGTGAGCTGAACCACCCGGAGTGTCCGGTGTGCCACACCCAGGTCACACAGGCCATCCGGATATTCTCCTAAAGAACCACGTCAGTTTTTATCCTTAGTTCCCTCAGTGTTTCTTCAATAATTATTTACTGTTCTAATAATAATTCTTATTATTAATATTATTATATTATTATTATTGTTAGTATACACATTTTTGTTTTTCAGAAAATCTTAAAACAATCAAGCAGATATTTTAGAAGGCCCTGCTTGCTTTGCTAAAAAGTATAAGAAATATTTTTAAGTTTTTCCTTTTTATATATATGCATATATATTTTATAAAAGTTTTGTTTATAAGAGAAGTATAGTACTCTGCTTTTCAGTTGTTTTTTGACTGCTGCTGTTTTTCATTCATGAATCGCAGCGTAGGCAGTGAAGTCAATGTGAACATTTTATTATTCAAATTTTTTATTTTACCATGAAGTGGGTTTATAATGAAGGAAGAAGATGATTGTTAAGGACGCCAGTCTGCACTCGGCTGACCCAGGAAGTCAACGTTGTTAGGAGGAGGAAAATCTTTGCACCTTACAATCATCTTGCTCTAAAACAGGATTGCCAATTGTTTTGTTGAAATTTTCCGAAGCCGACGTGAAGGTAAATTCAACTTTTTCACATGCGCTGTGCTTTTACAGAAATCGGTTTGGTGACGTGAAAATGTGAATAGATCGAGTCCAACGAGAAGCAGATCTTTTGTTTCATCCAGAAAAAGGGACAGGATGTGAATTATTTACAGTAAATAGTTATTGTTGTTATTTACAGACGTGGAGGAAGGCTCGGCTTCGAACGGTAGCCAGTGGTGACACTTTGGTCACTGCAGTTTGTTGAAAACATTCAGTGATGGAAAAGCACAGATTTAATTTGTTTGGGGGGGGGGACTTGGAATTCATCCAGTTGGCCCGTTCTGGATATTCCCGATGGACGTGTCTTGAAGCCACCTTAACCTCGCTTTATTGTCTCGTGTGGTCGTTTGGCCGCAGCCGTTGAACAATACATGACGCCCCCCCCCCCCCCCCCCCCTCCGTCAACAAGCATTTGTGTGAGGCGTGTGCTGTAAACAAAGCTGGGTAAAAAGTGTAAAATGTTTCCTGAATCAGCAGCAGATTAGCGGAGTTGATACTGTAAAACACAGAAGTGTAATCCTTTCTCCTCGTCTGTTGCCGACAGCGTGACGTGGGCGCTGCGAGGGGGCCTGCCCCCCTCCCCCTGTAATTAGCAAAGCCGTACAGGAGCAGGTGTTTCATGGCAAACTGTGGCTTTGACCCTGGGTTTGGAGGTCTCCCCAAGCCTCCTTTCTTTTCTCTCTTTTCTTTGGGAGTGGCTTTTCATCCCCCCCCCCCCCCCCAGAGCTTACAGTTGGACCGTATTGTCTGGGCAGCAGAGGCAGCGTGGGCTGCACAGAGCTCGGACACGGCCTGGATTCACACATTCACAATTAGGCAAATGGGTCGACCCAGGTGCGGACCGTGTGGGGACTCTGGACCTGGGTGGATGCAGCTGGGCCCCCCGCTTTTTAACCCAACTGGGGACAGTGGGAGGGGACCCCTCCTTTGTCCCAAATCACACACAAGCTTAGAAAGACACTAGCTAAACTTGGCAGCTGTGAACAAATCGGGGGCTTTAGGGGAGAAAGACACGATCCGGTTACCTGGAATCAGTCTGCGTGAACATTTCACAGCCCCCCCCCCCCGTACAGAACGGGGTGCTATTTGAAAGATCAGAATTTCCACAAACGTCCAGCCTCGCTGCTTTGAAGCACGTCCTGCAGACTGCCCCCTCGCTGCGAACGCCTCGGCCGGCGGCGGCCCCCTCGCCTCACTTTCAGAACAAAATCAGACTATTGTAATTGACAGGAAGGCCGAGGAAACGCCCCATTTAACCAGCACTCATGCTGAATCAAATTACACACCCTCTGCGTCTGCCTTAGCCCCAGCCTGGGGATTTCAGAGGGCAACAGGAACGAATGAGGAGGGGGGAAGGTAGGGATTAAAACTGTTGGCGAGAAAGAGCAGCATGCTCCAAGACAAAAAGCATAAAAAGCAGTTGTGCTGCTCCTCGGCGTGTTGAGTTTGGAGCTGCTGTCACGTGCGCGTGTGTCGTGGCGACACCAGCAGGCCTCTGCGTGTCCGCGAAGAATTCGGCTTCCGTCTCTTTTTACCGATACAAGTCTTCAGGGCAGACAAAGGCCCCTCCTTTAAAAAATAAAATCACACACACAGAAAGCAGAGCGCCCACGTGATGCCGTGCTTACAAGAAGTACCTTGAAATCTATGAAAAGTAGGAATAGTTAGTTTTTTTATGGCTGGAGAACTTGCACAGCGTTTTTGGCCTAAGCTTTCAGCGTCACGCTCGAAAAGTCTGACACTGCTCCTTGAACTTCGTGTTTGGTTCTTTTTTCTTTCTGTTCTGCCTTAATATTTTTATGGAATATTGCCATGGCTTTGGCTTACAAGGTAGCAACGTTGGCCTTTGATAGCACCACTCCCCCAAAAGCAACTTTTTACAGAACTTATTTTTGGAAAAAAAGAAGAATGTGAATCAAACCGCTCGGGTGGAGGGGGATTAGAGAAATTCTGGACATTAGGCTCTTTAAAACCCACAAAATACAGAATAAAGCACCTTATTACAAAAACATTTGATTAATACCAAACCGACCACTGATGGTGAAATCTCACAGAATCTGTAGGACATGCACATAAGGATTCCCTATCATTTATTTTGTGTGTTTCTGGTGGTTCTTGTTATTAATAGAGGCAGTTCGGGAGAACTCTCATCCGTTTAATCAATGCCGTTTTAATAGTTTTTTTCAGTTTTGCACTGTTTTATTAAAGAGACGTCTTATTAGAGATTCTCCCGCTTTAGACGCTGTAAGTTCACGACCTTCACGGGAAGGCACTCCTCTGTAAATATCGTGTACGTGCACCAGGAAGGAAGGAGTTTCTGCTTATTTTTACAGTCTCAAAGTGTCGTTTGTCAACGTTTTAGCGAAACGAACTCAAAAGTGTTTTGAGTTGAGGAAGAGCTAATCTTTCATATACGCGCCCCGTCACCTGTTTGACATCTATAGTATATTAGATAGATCCATACGTGTAAGAAATATTATTTAAACTTAGTATTTCATTCAAATATAGAGACATTATTATAAACTGTAAGTATGAATTTTATGAATCCACCGATGTATTCAATCTCAAATAAAAACTCAAATATTTAAAGAACTTTTTTCCCCCAAGTAAAAAGCAAAAAAACAAAAAAAAAAAGCTTATTTATCAGGATGCAAAGCAATAAAAAGGACAATAAACAGTTAATTCTTTAAATATCTTAATTATTTGGATGAGAATGCTGCGTTTCTGTCTTACAGAACCAGCGTGGATTAAAAAAAACCCAACAGATTCCTAAAAGCTTCAGGGTTTCACTTATTTGCTTCGTGCGTATGAGTTTCCGTCACGTCCAGAACTTTACGGACGACTCCTCGTTGTTTATGAGGAGCCTGAAAAAATCAAAGTGTGAATCTGAAGACAGTCGTCGTGCTCCGAGCTGAAGTTCTGGCTCGTTGTTGAGAAGTCGGAGCTGCCGTCTCTGCAGCTTTTGTGAAGGAAAATTAAACGAAAAAGGCGTCAGCGGGAAGCAGAAGGTGGGACTACATGGGATAATGGGCCGTCGGCACCGTCCACACGCTTCCATGCTTTACGTCCATTATCCCCTCGGAGGCTCCACTGGAGAGCACACGTGCCAGATCAGACTTTACGACGACTTCGTCGATGTTTATTTTTTGCGCTGCTTCGTTTTCGTTCGTCTCCTTTGAAAGAGAAAAGGTCCGACGTTGCCAAAGAGAAGAACACGAGCTAACTTATCTTCATATTTACTTCTTTTAGCGTCCAAACGTTTTAGAGTCAACTGAAGCAAAAACATCAATCTGATATGTTGGAATTAATCCCACAACTCTGAATAATCAGTTTAAAATGAAGGCGTGTCACGTTTCTTACAAACGGACTCATTTCTCCCCAAAGAGGTCAGATCAGAGTCCACCGTGACGAATCATTTTCTCTAAAAGAAATCAACCAATCGGAGGAAGTTAGGGTTTAAAAATGACATTTATGTAGAGAGGCACAAACTGCATCCTTACTTTTAACTGCATGTTAGTGGAATATAGTACGAGGGTAAGATTTATCAAAAAGAAGCATAAAAAGATTAATTAGCCTGATATCTAAAGTGTATAAAAGCTTTAAGAGCTTAAATTTAAAAGCTTATATTTACTGTGTAGTTGAATTGATGCATAGTTTAATTATTGATTCCTAAAATGATGCTAAGTTTCATTTGTCCGGCTCCCCTGAACGCATCGTTTGTGGAACAGCACAGGGCGGGACGACGTAGTGATTCATTCTGTTGGTGGTAGTATTATTTACTATGCTGTATTATGGCTACGATTATAGTACAAATACACGTTTTTCTTCTTCTTTATGCATTTATGTAGAATCCCTTTCAAGGAGTGATAGGAAATCCTTATTTCTAATGGATGCACTTAAAGCAATTCTACCAACCTGTCAGCCACACATTGAGCAATGCATTTGAATGTAAACAAAAAATAAAAACAATAAAAAAAAAATTTATGCAACCGTATTGTTTTGTCGATTTAAAAAGTGAGCTTTAAGTTAGTTTTTTGTTTTTTTCTTTTTAAAGAATTTGCAACAGGTTTTCAATGTAGTCTATATTTGAGTTCTTCCACATGCATTTATAGAAAGTTACTTAAAAACGAATAAAAAAAAAACATATTACTGTTTTTCAAATCTATTTTGCTAACATGGGTTATTATTTCATAGAAAGCAGAGGGGAGAAAAGAAAAGTCAGTATCTGGATGTTATTTATGACAAGAAAAAAACAGCATATTTATGAGTAACCTCAAGACGTTTTGTTTTTTTTTAATTAAAATTACAAGAAGTTAATATATTTCTAAACACAGGGAGGTCAGTTTCTACTAATGAGTAAAAAAAATAAGAAGTATTATTTATGAAAGTTATGGATACTTTTCTCACGAGTGTGGAAAAAGTGTCCCATAACTGAAATTTTAACTTCACACATGCACTACTTCAACACCAGTGCACTAACAATGAAATAATTACAGAAAAATATAATATTTTTAGAATTTGGAGATATTTTAGTCACAGAGCATCATTTTTGTGCCTCGATCATATCTATTTTTCCTGCATCAGCATCTCTTTGTGCAGTGCTGCTTGCTGTAACCCCTTCCCGCCCTTTTTCAACTAACCCCACGTTACTGACTGACGCCGTTACTCGTTTCCTCTGTAATCTAAACTTGCTTTTTTCTTATCAAAATGTAAAAATAAAAAAAACTGCAACGCTTGGAATGAATGAGGCAGCCTCGCGCCCAGCAGGGCCACACACACACACACGACTTGTAAACACGATCATTCACACGTTTCTTTCGTCTGCTGCTCGGCCTGATCGATTCGCTGGCGGCGGAACGTAACCGGCTTTAAAAAAAAAAAAAACGCCTTTACGATCGACTTTCCTGATGCGTTAATTAGGCGAAGTGCAAGTGGAGGCATCAGACGACAGCGCGCTGCGTAGATCTATATGTAACTAGATGAACACACACACACAGAGCAGATTCATTGCCGTACTAGTTTGCATGTATATTGTATGGTCACTTAGACAGGAGGAGCGGGGCGGGGCGCTCCGGCGCCCAGACCGTTCCTCTGCTGTAGATGTTCATAGTTGGGTCCTCTTTAGAAAGTGGAAGGCTGTTGTTGAGTTCGGAGCCAGACGGCGACCGTTTCAGACCCCGCCACGACTTCTCGTTACCCGTTTGTGGACGAGCGTTTGTTTCCACTGAAAATTTACCTTCCATTTGTTTTAAGAGCCGACACGGTTTCAAAAGACACGCAAGAAACGGCGCGTTGTTGAAGAAGTTGGGGACGGACGCGGCGCTCGCTGGCAGGACTCGAGCCCTTTCCAAAGAGGCCGATGCAGTCTGACGGTTTGTCTTTGGTAGCGTTTCCAATTTTTCCAGCACAGTAGAGGTGTTTCATACCGGTCTAATAGTGGTTGTAGTGCATTAGTTTTTGGGCCGGCACCAGCTGGCGTTAGTTTCTGGTTTCTCTGTGAACGGTGAGGGAGCGTCGCCGCTGTGGCCCTCAGAGGCGCAGCGTCGACTTCAACGGACGAGAAAGAAAAGATAAAAACAAACAAAAAAAAATATAATAAAAAGTTTTTTGAACTCTGTTCAGTGTGCCGTGCCCCGACGAGGCATGTGATATTGCAGGTTTATTTCTTATAGCACATGTTTTTTTGTGAATTACATTTTTTGAAGACATTTTTATTATAATAATAATTATTATTATTGTATCTGCGCCATGTTAGTTCTGGTTATTTGTTATTTTTTCAAGATTCAAAATGTATTGTAAATGTTTCTAATAAAACAAAAATGAAATTAACTAAAGGAGAATGTGTGTTTTTCTTGGAGACAAGAGTCCTGATGGTTAAATTGATCCTTTGATAAGGACCATTAATATTTAATATCAGTAATCAGAGGAACAACATGGTTCGACAGCACTTTGCAAACATCTTAAATTACACTGGACACCAGAGGTTATATCAAAGCTGGGTGATGAACAGTAACAGTGCCCAGCTGCTCGTTTCAAACTGAAGACACGTAAGAGATGAGCTATAACAAACAGAATTTATTTATACATGTGCAGTCCAAATATACATATATTCAAATAAAGTTTTAAAAAGTTCTAACCTACACCACCCAGCTGAAGTCTTGTGAAGTGAACAGAAGTCTGTGCTGATCTGGAAACACCACCAGTGTCCATAACCTTTGGGTTTAACCGAGCCCCTCTCAACGCTACAACCCGTTCTCCCTTTCCTCATCTGCTAAACTGTGAAGATGCTAACAAACCCAGTCCTGGCTCTGAACACGTCCCCCACCCCTCGGACAGGAAATAAAGACGAGTGAAAGCGAGGGCAGACCTCGGGGAGATCCCAGAAGACGAGAGTCCTGATTCAGAGACAGAGGAGGAGGTGAGCAGGCAGCGGAGGATTTCATTTACAGTAAAACAACCCATCTCGGGTACATCAGAGACCACAGGGCAGGGCTGAGTGCCCTCGCTATCCCTGAAACATTATCCTCACACATCCATCCTAGCAGGCAGCAGTGTGGGGTTGTCCATGCATTTAAATCTATTCTCAAATATTTCCCAGGACGAGGGGGGGAAAAGGGTGAAACGGTCATGAGCCGAGCGGACGCAGTTAACCCATCCACCAGCTAGAACATCCCATTTAGAGCCGACGCTGTGCAGAGCTTGCAGGAGCATGACTCATCTGTGGCGTACGGAGGGTGTGAAGAGAAGGAGAGGCTTCCAAACGGATCAAAAGACATCAGAAATCACTTGTCACTCTTAGGGAGGGCTGTTATTGCTCCGTGAGGACTGCTGGAGCAAAACTGACCGAATTCCATCACGTGCATTTTAAAAAATATGACTAGATAGGCAAAAGTATGAACAGGAAAACAATTATTTCTTTACAGTTAAAGAGTGGAAAAATCAAGCAAACCCTTCAGCCAAACAAGATAATTTAGTGTTCAATAAATACCGTGAAAAGGCACCGTTTTCTGATCATTTTAGTTTGGGGTGAAATGAGGACAGCGGTGACAGAAGGGCGTGATTCAGTCTTTACAAAGTGGAGTTTTACAGTCCGATAACCCAGAAACAGAAAGGAAGCGTTCACCTTTTTGTAAATCGTGACGATCTGAGGAAGCTTTAATGAGATTAAGAGAGTGTGTCCAATTCATAACTGTGAATCAATTCTGATGATAAAGCTCGTTTAGAAAGCGCATCACCTGTTTTATTTCTACCGATACTAATCCTCCCTCACCACACATCCTGTCTATTCTTCTAATTTTATTTACTGTCCCTCATTATTAACACCCCCCCACCCTCCACATCCCACCCAGATAACAGACAAACACCCAGTTAGAGCATCCTTGTGTACATCTACCTGTCTCTCCATTTCCCCTGCCCGTCTGCCTGCCTGTCTGTCTATCTGGCTGTTTCTCCGTTGAGGTGAAGGAGGAGGTCAGTGGTGCCGGCTCAGTTGTTCTGGCAGCAGGAACCCTTACTGGATGAGCTCTGGGTGGGCTCAACTGTGATGGGTACGACGTTGGACGCAGGCGAGAAGTCGGAGTTGCTCTGCCCTGACATCTGCCTCTGCGACACGATGTTGTAGATGGCTGCAACAGAGCGAGGAGACGCCGATCAATCCGAGGAACACTGGGACATATTGTGATAAAGACAAACAGCATGGCAAAAACTGAACAACAACTGTTGTATCCAGACTCCTGGCAGCCCCGGAGGATTCTTTCCACCCTAAACTGGCAACGTTAGATCATGTGGAAGAATCGTGCCTGCAGTTTGGCATTTCATGCAGCTACAGCTAAAACAGAAACAAAATGAAGCGTCGGGTCATCTGCACGCTGAGGAAACAGTCAAGTTTTAGTTTTTATACACTCAAATCAAAGCGCACGCCTTTTTTTCAGGTTTATTTCTCCTTCAGGACATTTCTACGTGTCGTTTTGTTAAGCCGTGCCTCGGAGGTCCTCTGTGGCGGTCAGCCGATCCATTTCAGGGGAATTTGACTGGTGGAAACATTACTGAATAACTGCTGCAACTTCCCTTTAAACCACATCTCAAATAAAAAAAAAACATTTTCCTGAAACCAAAGGAAGAACCGTGCAGCAAGAACATTTAGAGCAAATCAAGACTCATGACTGTCAGGTGGCAAAATTATGACTAAAACCAACGTAAAGACAAAAAGCCACCAGGATGACCCTCTGGTCTGCGCTGTGTCTTCTGCTATGTGAGCGACGCTCCCTCTGCTCCACTGGGTCTAAAGTTCAGCTCTTACTGGTCTGCTAATGCACAGCTTTCCCCGCCTTAACGAGCTAATTAGCAGCATTAACTCAATAGTGCTTGTTGGCTTGTTTTTCTTATGAATTAAAAAGCAGATAAAGCTGGGGAGTGGAGGGAACGGTTGAAATGAGATGGTTCAGTGATTTAAACGTGGAGCAAGAACTCAAGCAAACAGCAAGTGGCTCATGAAGGGCAACTTAAGTGGAAGCTCCCCTAACTGTTGGGTTGTCCCTTCAGGGGTTGCCTTGCCTGAGCCTTTTCAGTATTTTCACCCCATGTAATAAAATATCAAATACATTTAAACCTCCGTTTGTCAGAGTGGATAAGAAGCTCCTGGGGAGAGTGTGTGTGAGAAAACGTGAGAGAAAGTGGATTTATGGAACAGAACAAAGTGAATCTGTGACCTCAGAGTCCAGCAGTTACTGGTCTTCTTCAGGATCAAGTCACATTTCTAACCCAGGAGGGAGTAACCTGTGTAAATAAAGGTTGAATGAATGAATATTCAGGCAGTGCTCCACACCAGGAAACACGTCAGAGGTGGATGCAGAGAGCTGATCAGGTGGAATTTGCTGCCATCTAGTGGCACATGTCAAATGTATTATGACCAAAATGTGAATGGAAAGAAAACAACAAAAAAAACTAGAAAACCAAGCTTTTAAATTGCTTACGTAGCTTTTGACTGCTGAACTCACAGACAAATCTCTCTCCCTCCCCTCCCCCCTGAGGGTCGTTAGGATCTTGGACAGTAATGGTCTCTGATCGACTGTTGGACGCAGTGAGAAAACGTGGAAGTGAAGTTTTCCATCGCAGCTTCCTCTGAGTGTCAGCGACCAGCAGCCGTGTGTTTTAAAACCACAGCCTATGGTCGTGATTGTTGGGGTCATTTTACACCCACCTTGGCACGTTTGATTTAACCTGCAGCAGCTGGCTCTGGTGGACCACGTGCACCACTTTACAGTTTGGGTGTTTTGCTCTAAGGGGAAACCAGATTCTGCCTGCGGGTCCCGTTTGGTGTTAAATGCACAGGGTAACTTTATTTGTGCACCTGTTCTTTTTCCTCTTTGTTCAGCTCACGGGGTAAAAAAAAAAAAAACCTTAACGACCCTCAAAAGGAGGGGAAGGGGAACGATGTGCATGCGAGTTCAACTTGAATTAACTGAGCAGTTCACTGCCGTTTAAAAGCAGCAGCTCAGAGTTTACACGTGTGTGTGTGTTGTAGTGTAAAAAGCGCTCCGAGTGGTCAGTGAGAGCAGCAAAGTGCTGCATAAACGCTTGCAGTCCATTTACAGTGAAAAGGCTCAGAACTTCACGTTTTTCAGTTTGAACTGGAAAACTACACAGAAGAGCAAAGTCTTCAAAAAAAAACACGAAAAGGTCCAGTCGCCTTAAAAAGAAACACCCTTTCAGAATCACACGGTCCAGAATTAAAGACCCCACCAACCAAACGGTAATTAGTTTCAGATGTCGACCTCGGAGAACACACGGTGCTTTTTTAATCTTAGACTCCGATAAGGCCAAACTTTCATCCAGGATTTAACAAAACACACAATTTGATGATTCTAGGGAAAGAAGTGAGGTTCACCTGTGAGGATGGTCTGAAAAGCCAGTTCCACGTTGGACGAGTCCAACGCCGACGTCTCCAGGAAAGACAGCTCGTGCTTCTCTGGAGGACACAAACCCAGAGGAGCACGTTAAAACCTGCGGGTCCTCACGCAGAACCGCACGGACACAAGCTGCATTTAAACTGCGTGGATTTAAAAATAATCTCTCTGAAAACAGTTTTCTGTTCCGTTGCTCCGATTGGGACACTTATTGTACAACATTTCTCGATACACACAAACATAAATGATCCCACACAGAAAATACTTCTAATAAACCACTGACAGAGTGATGCTCGCAAACATGCACAACACCACATCAACATCATCATTAATCTATTTTAAAGTGTACGTGATCATTTAAAGGAAAACAGACCCATAAAACAACAGCAGGTGTTGGAAGTTAGAAACATTAATTATTGACTAATTACTCAGCTGACTGATGCATTTGTAATCAACAATAATAAAGTAAATCAATGCAAATGTGATAAAATTGGAACAAAAGTGCTAAAATATTTTAAGTCGGAAACAAAAAATAGCAGTAAAATGTAACTTTTTGCTGATGTTATTTAGACAGAAATAAACCTTATATAATAATGTAATAATATTATTAAAATATATAATAATAGGCACTGTCCAAACACAGTGTATCCAGGTCAGGTCTACAGACTGAAGCAGAGGTTTGTTCAGACAAAAAGCCTCTTTCGTCTGTCAATTTTTAAATAAGAGGCGACAGAATCAATCTTTCAGCAGCAGAAAAGCTAAATTAGATCAAACGAAGACGCTTCTTGTTGACGTTCAGCTGATGATGTGCAGCTGCTGCTTACTGCTGTGGTGAAATATGAGAAATCACTCGGAGGAAACTACAACACAGAGTTTTAAAACACGTTTATGTCGTGTTTGAAATGAAAATGGAAACTAAGGATAAAAGCGTCAACTCGAACTGGAGTGTTAGTGTAGATACTGTGACCTGATCACACAATCCGTCATCCTCGTGTTAATTAATCACTTCTTTTAACGTTATTTAGAACGATCGTCTTAGTTTGGACATTTCAGACATAAGGAACAGCTGAAATGAGCAGGAAAATCAAAGTAAAACACCTCGATGCTCTGATGTTTTCCAGCCTCAGAACCTGCAGCATTGCTTTGCATGAACACGTCCACAGCGAGGTCTTTATGTAAACGACGAACCAGAAGTTGGGTCAGTGAGATAAAAACAAACGAGCACATCCAGCACTGACGAGAGGGAAGGTCGCCTTTATCCAGAAAAATGTGTTTTTCTGATGCAAATCAAGAAGAGATGAGCTACATTATATTTTATTATTAATACTTTATTTATTTTATTTTAAAATTAATAATATAATTAATTTAATATAATTTAATGATTTAATTAATAATAATAATAATAATACAATTTAAAATGAATAATACAATACAATTTACTTTTTCCCCCTCCTAATTTATTAATTTTATTTTTTATCAGTACTTTTTTTAATCATTGATCATCAAAAGTGCAACACTAAGTTGAGAAAAACTTGGCCAAACACTTGAAAACTATATTAAATTTATTATTTTATTATGAATACATTAATTTTATTTTTAATTAATAATATAATTTTATATAATTTTATGATTTAATTAATTATTTTTATTATTATTTCGGCTGCTCTCTTCTTCAGGAATCACCACAAAGAACTGAGTCACACGAAGTCTTGGCGATGTTCTTCCTGATGCAAACACAGATCACGGAGCTACCACATCCGTCTGTGTGGAGCAGAGAGCTGCCGTCTAGGACACCCGGGGGAGTAGATGGTGGGGGTTAAGGGCCTTGCTCAAGGGCCCAGAGTGGGACGAATGAGGGTGAGGGCGCTTCACCTACCCCACCCACATTTTTGATGTTGTCGGTACCGGGGCTTGAACCGACGATCTTCCGATCACAGGCCCACCTTCTCTAACCTCTGCGCCACCACTCCCCAATTAATAATAAATAATAATACAATTAAAAATGAATAATACAATACAAAAATACATTTCATTTTATTATTATTTTTTTTAAATCAGTCCTTTCTTAATTATCTATCATAAAAAGTGCAACACTAAGTTGTGAAAAACTTCCACATTGACCAAACTCTTGAAAACTCTTAAAATTTGAGGAAAAAAAATACTTTAAATTTAACAAAGCCTAGACAATAACAAAATACACATTTTGAAAACGTAATCAAGTCTCTATTTTTATCTGCACTTGAGCACATTTAAGCGGAGGACGGTTGTTGTGCTTGTGAACACGTTTGAAGACGCCTCAGCTTCTCTGCACAAAGAGGAGAAATATGGTGGAACCCAGAGGGAACGTGTTTAAAAACGGTGTAAATAAAACTTCTTATTCCTGATTCCTCAGGTTCTCGTTACAATCATTTAATAAAATGGAGCTTAAACTCGACCTTACCTGCGAAGCTCTTGGCCTCGTCTGTGGGCACGGCTCTTAGGTGGCGTAGATCGCTTTTGTTGCCCACGAGCATGATGACGATGTTGCTGTCTGCGTGGTCCTGCAGCTCCTTCAGCCAGCGCTCGGCGTTTTCATACGTCAGGTGCTTGGCGATGTCGTAGACCAGGAGGGCTCCCACCGCTCCACGGTAGTAGCTGTGAGGGGAGATGGGAGCAACGAAGCGTCAGCACAGTTCTACTTCCTGTTACAGCCCGGTGACCGCTCCGTGGGCGCGTCACGCCGCCTCAGACTCGTCCGAGGACAGAAGCCGAAGTTTAAGAGAACACCGACCTCTCCGCACAAATAACCGGTGGCTAACACGCAGAGTTTAATCTCTTCTGATAACATTTCTCTGGTTTAAAGCAATAGTTAACTCCAGTAGTTTTACAGATGTAACTAGTACAGTGCGGGTCCACACTCGATGTAAACAAAGCCTCGTCTGAGTCCACCCAAACCCACGTGGGAGCTTGTGATTGGCCAACGTCAGGCCGCGCAGGAAAACGGATATGGTGGAAGCAGACAAGCATTCTCAGAGTTTAGGTGGATCTGCTGCTAAACGCTAAACAAGAAGAAGAACAAGTAAAACAACCGTCTGGAATAAATATCAAGGATCAGCGTTCAAACACAAAACTTCTACTAAACTTCTTCCAGACCCCTGAGTTTATCGTTTCAACGTTTTTTTAAACTTTAGTGCAACTTATTTTACTCAACAGATCTGTGTGTAAATATGGACCGATGCAGTCCCTTAAAATGAAAACGTCTGTAAACGGCCGCAGTTGTTTGCAGCTGCTCGCAGATTTTACTTTGATTTTGTTTCTTACTTGATAAATTTAAATATACATTTTCAATATGAAGTTTTTAATGGTCTTCATGACTTGAGTGCAATTAAAGAGGCAGTTCAGGCGTTTAAAAGTTGGGTTCTGTGAAAAAAAGATCTATTGAAGTCTTACCCTTAAAGACAGAAACTAGCTTCGGCTCGGTTTTGCATACTTACATATATTTGTTTATTAAGACTCTCTCTTTTATAAATAAATAAATGAAGTCTGACAGGACTGATGTGTCTGAACGGAGCTGGAACCCAATTGACTGCTGTCGTTTTAAAACATCTCCAAACCTCAAAGTTTAAAACTGCGAACGCCACTTTTTAAACAGTTTCACATCAAAAGGCTTTCCCAGCAGAGAAATTGTAAAATGACTGCCTGAAGTGGCCCCAGAGGTGCTACAGCTAGCTGCTGCTGCTGCTTGCACTCGCAGCAAACAACACAACTCTTTGTTAATAACTATGTAATGCACCATTTCTGAAAACGGAGGGATATTAAGAAAGTTTCTAGCTTCTCCACAAACCTCACTTAAAAATGGCAGAACTATCCCTTTGAACCCAGCGTTGAGCCTGAAATAAATAATCTGTGTTTGAATATTTCCAGAGTGCAGCAGTTTCTCAAACCACCGACGAGACTTCAAGTGTAAAAGAAGCTCGTCTCTGTCAGGACTTTAATAAACGTCGAGTTTCAGAGCCTCTGCAGGGTTTCATTTCCTTTTATTAATTTAAAACCTTTCATTTGTTTTGTTCTCAAAACCTTCAGTTCTGTGAGAAGGGCCGTTTTAATTTAACTAAATTCAGACTAAAACCCAGAGTGGGGTCTCATTTTGTTCTTTTGGACCACCTCGCTGGAAGAAGGAAAGCAGAGACGATTCGGTGGTTTGATTTTTTTTAACCTGAACCTTATTTTATTTTACTAGATGAATTTTAATTTTGTTACTTAGTATATTTTTACTCCAACTCTTATATATAAACATACATTTTACTGTTATTTTTTTTATGAGTATAATGTGATTTTTTTTTTTTTTTTACATTTTCTTCTGTATAAATGTCTAATCAGTTTTCATCATCCCACCTTTATTTATACAGGTTAATCCCATTGAGCCTCGGGGACTCATTTAAAAAGAGCTGATTTTAACAAAGACACGGTGGACAACAAAAGTTCAGTCTCTTGTATTTACGTAATTATTTAAGTGAAGAACACAGTTATATCTAAGAGGGACTGTGTATATTTTTATTGTCGACTCAAATCTTCTGTTCTACGTTACATTTTTCAGGAAAATGCATAAAGTCTGACACCTACACGTGTGTGTGTGTGTGTGTGTGTGCACTCTCGGAGTGCCTCTGTAGGAAACTTGGCTCAGAGCATGGGAGCTCCTAAAACTCACGCCGAGGTGATGGCCCGGTACCGCTCCTGTCCAGCCGTGTCCCAGATCTGAGCCTTGATGGTCTTGCCGTCCACCTGGATGCTGCGCGTGGCGAACTCCACTCCGATGGTGCTCTTGCTCTCCAAGTTGAACTCGTTGCGGGTGAAGCGAGACAGCAGGTTACTCTTCCCCACGCCGGAGTCTCCGATCAACACCACTGCAGAGACAGAGCAACGGTCAGCCCAACCAAGAGCTTGTGCGGGCTTCAGAGCACACGGCTGCAGAACGGGACGTTTGGTGGGTGTGCTGCGGTGGGGTTTCATCTTTGAGCCCAACCAACACTGAAGGTGATCAGCGGCCTGATTAATGTACAGTAACAACCATCAGTGATCCGTTTATTCGGTTTAAAATGACCAGAAAATCAAAGACCACCACGTTGGAAGGACATAAATGTGTAAATTCATTGAAGCACCAAGTTTTAAGCACAATATCTTTAAAGCTGACTCGTTTCGAGCCATTCTTGTGCTCGTTAAGTCAGTTGGCTGTGGAAGCCATCTTGAATTGGGTTAGCTCCATTTGTGTTTTGGAGGTAGATGTGGAGCTGGTGATTGCTTTCAGTAAGTTTGATTAAAATCCATCCAGTGTTTGAGATATTTTGCTAACAGATGCATCAAAACCGAAAGGCAGGCCCAAATATAACCGTTCACCTTCGCCTTTCAGCGGCAAGTGATAACTATAGTTAAGATTTTATAGATAATTTTAGATAATGCTCAATAAGAGCCGTTTGGTGTTTTCTCAGTTTGCACCAACAACAATTAGTCCCGACTGTGGAGAGTTTAATTATAAAATACAGAACAGACGGCATGTGGTTACCATAGAAACAACAAGTTAGTTAAATCCTGACGTGAACTTTAAAACCACTATAACAAATAAATTAAAAGTTAAAAGGTGACATGATGGGCTGCTCTTTTCTCTCTCACATCCACTGCTTATCACGCTAAAAGCTACAAAACAATCTCAGCTGTTCACCTGAACATCCTAAACGTACTCTTTTTATTCTCTGGCATTTAAACCGCTGAGTCATCATATACTTATACGCGCTTTTAATTTTTGTAAAGCTGGATTTATTGTTATTTTGTTTATTTGTATAGTTTACATCCGTTCATAAACATTACTTTGATCAACACTTAGATTTAATTGTGGTCCATTATACTTTTTTTTTTTTTACTAAATCCGTCACATTTGCTGCAACTGAATCGAAGTGATGAAAACATGACGTTTCTTGTTATTAGAGTTTTTCTCATACAAGAACATACAGATGATTATGACGATGTGATCAGAATATTCTAAATTAATTGCATTCACACGTTTTACCCAACAGGCCTGGCGTTTTAAAATATGGAAAATAAATGATTTATAATCAGACCTCAACAATACTAATAATAAAACTTCTTCTGGTCTCTTCAGAGATCTGAAAAAAAATCTATATTAGATCATTCATCTTACAAATATTTATGATTAACAATTTAACTAGATTTTATGGCACCGTTCAAAATGTTTTAGTGTATTACCACATTTATGTCTAAGAGTAAGGTTGAACTATTAATATTGTTTCCTCTCATTAAACCAAAAAATGTCCAAATGAACAGCGAGGCTTGTGGCTTCACAGCTAATCCATGACTTGACGCTCAAAAACCATATTTGTCACCAGATATTTTGCTAACAGACAGGGTCGACTAACAGTTGATGCCAACGATCTTGTGTGATTCGTTAGCGCTAACGGTACGTGTTGGGGACGACTCTCTGCTACTACCAGTTCAACTTTGAACTCAACATCTGTAAAAGTTTTAGCCATCTTTGCTTGCTAAGGTGCACAGTGTTAACAGGCGTTAGGTCGAGTCATGAGATATTTTGCTAACAGACAAACACAGTGAAACTCCATTGATTAAACAAATCACACACCTTTCACGGTGGAAGTCCTAGACTGTAAATTTGTTCGTGGAATATGAAAAAGCATTAGTTCCACCCAGGTATGCACATGCACATGAATGGAGGTGTTGAATAACGACGCTGACGGCGTCGTGCGGTGATTATGATGAGCGGTCGGACGGCCTCGCCCCGAGTCTCCTTTCAGCGCCGCTCCTTTAACGATTAACGACGAATCACCGCGACAGACATCAGAGCAGCTTCTCCCACAGAGGTGTCTGTCAGAAAAGGACTTGGACAGTTGTCAGGTGAGTCAGCCCGCCGAAGGGAACCTGCCTCACCGACTCACCACCCTGCTGTTGGGAAACAGGAACTCGTTTCTGGAATGTTGAAACTGCTTTAACCAACCAACCGCCGCGTTTGCACCAACAGCCCTGCTAATTCAAGTTAAACGCCCGGAAATTTACACAAAACTTTCTTAAAAACTCGTGCTGAGGCTGGGGGAGGGCGGCTAGTACACACTGTGGAGGTAACTCGCACATTCAGAGGGTTTTCTGTTAGTCATTAATAACTCAAGTCGTTCTCATCCAGCACAAAAAGATCCTGGGTGGAAGAGAAAGATCATTACGCAACGCCATCCCAGTCCTACACCACCAGACTGGCAGTCAGCTTCATTACACACCCTCACACACACCTATTGTTGTTTTTTTACTCGACTAAAATGAGAAGTCCTCGTCATATAACAGCTCTGCACTCGCTGATGCAGCTCAGGCTGAAAGTAATACAAAGAGTCTAAAGGCGTCTGTGCACCGAGATCGATGGGCTGAAATTTCTCGTTCCACAAAAAACAGATAAATGTTTTTATTTAACTTTCTGCAAATACATCTATTTGAACATGGTAATAATTACTTTACACCTGTGCAAGGTTCGTTTTAAAAAGCAAAACAAACCAAAAAAAAAAAAAGCATTACTCATGACAGAATCAGCTGGTTTTATTTTTAAACGAGTTACTGAAGTGAAGTGACCATGAACCGTACAGAGGGATCACTTCCTGTGCCGACATCTCTTTCTGTAGGAAGAGGCAAACGTGGCTCGCTGAGCTCACCCAGCTCGACTCGCAGCGCGCAGCAGGGACACACAAAGACAAAACGCTTTATTCATTCAAGATAAACTTCGAACGACAAGACGCTTCTTCCGTTCAGTTTGGTCACAGAAAACTAGACTTCCATGTTCAAACGGCGCAAATACTTAAATTTCCTCTATCCTCACACACACACGCACACACACACACACACACACTGCAGGTATTTCCAGTTTGACAACAAATTCTTGTTTAGTGTTCTATATTTGAAAATGCCATGAGCGCTTCAGTTCCCCTGGCCTGGGAGAGGAACTACAGTTTTTATGAGAAATTAGGACAAATAATCCGAAGCCATAAGACGAAGAGAAGTTCTGAAAACAAAACACAATTCAAAAATCTGTAAAAGTTAAAGAGTTATTTGTCTGTTAGGCCCTTTTGTAACAATATGGTGTATTTAAACATGGGTTAATATCTTGTTACAATCAATTTAGATCAATTGTTTTAAAGATAAAATACATAAGCATGTTGTAAAAAGATGTTACAAAAAAAAAATTTATATTAAAATTATTTTCATGTGTCCTGCTATATTAAAACTTGTGAAGACGTACGCATTAAATGCTTAACCCATCTTTCAATATATTTAAAGCCAATTTAAACTGTAAGTATTCCAAGTTTGTTCATTTGTGGTTGTGAGTTTTGCATTTGAACAACTCTCGATTATAAAAAGTTGTGTCGTTTAAACGTTTTACAAGATCTAAACATATATTATTGCTTTAAAAAAAAACTTTCATAAAAGTTTAGATGGTTTATTTACAAGAAATTACATTATATAAAAAGGTATCTCTTCTTCCAAAATGTAAAAAATACAACTATTTTCAGTAAATTTTGTAGATTTAATGTAGCAAAAACACGAAATTATATCTGAATATAGTCAACAGCTTCATTTGAGTTTAACTTTAAATATAAATAACTTAAATCTGAGGACTTTGGTCAGTTTCTGGTGGAAGTTAACACTGAGCCAGATACAGGAACTCAAAGATGTTCTTCACCCCAGGAGCAGGCTCTCCTCTCCCCCAGGAGCAGGCTCTCCTCTCCTGAGGAGCAGGCTCTCCTCTCCCCCAGGAGCAGGCTCTCCTCTCCCCCAGGAGCAGGCTCTCCTCTCCTGGGGAGCAGGCTCTCCTCTCCCCCAGGAGCAGGCTCTCCTCTCCACCAGGAGCAGGCTCTCCTCTCTGACCTCCTGTTGACCACCTCCGCATCCCCAGGTGATGACGTCATCGTCCAGGCAGCTGATGGTTCTCAGCAGATGCTGCTGAAACAGACCCGGAGGAGCCCCGGAACCGTCGTCCCGCTCTTAAAATCCGCACAACTACGAGTTTGAGTCTGTTTCCGAGTTCAGAACAAGCCACGGTGCCGCCTGAAGCGCTTTGCTCGACCTGTTGTCGTCAGGCGCGCGCTGGTCGACCGGCATCAAATGACACTCGGCTCACAGGTGAAGCCAACATTTAGCTAACTAGCTGAACGTTGAGGGAGAGGGGCACTCACCTTTAAAAAGATAGTCATATTCGTCCTCTCTGTTCGTCATCGCTTCTTATCGGTGTCTGTACCGCTCAGCTGAAGTTGAACAAACTTCTGGCGTATTTTCTGTTGTTTTTGTTTTTTTTTTGTTCCAGTTACTTCCGACTTCAGCTTCACGCGGAAAGCGGTCGCTCGGACGTCAACGACGCAGAGAAAATCGATGTCAAAAAGGAACAAAACGAAAAACAAAATGGTGCGGAAGGTTTGTGATGTTGTTAGCCGCGATGACAACTAGAAGGCAGGAAACTTTAGAGCCGTCTTCCTCATCCTCTGCCACTTGCCATTTCCGAGGCTGCGACGTAGCGTCAGTCTGTAGCCCCGCCCTCTTCCCGCTCCCATTGGTCTACTGCCGTTCACTGCGTAGACCGGGCTTTGATATGATTGGTCCGCTGCGCTGTCCGTCATTATCTTAGGTACCGGTTGTTAACTGGTATGACGTCAAGCAGCAACAGGTAAAATCGAGCCTTTTGAGTAGTCACGGTGGCAAACTGCGGGCTCGCGCACAATATGACAGAATTTCGTGATGACTGCCTGTTGCTGTGAGGGTGGGGGCGAGTTACTCCATCCGCGTGCAACATCACCTTAATTATCGCCCGCCGCCGAAAGATAAAGGCGGGGCTTAATGTTTTGTCTGTCAGCAAAATATCTCACGAACCACTGGATGGATTTTAATGAAATCCTCAGAAGGTAAACTTTGGACGCACATCTAAAACTGATTAACTTTTGGAGTCAACCCAATTTAATATGGCCGCCACAGCCAAGGAACGACAGCTGTGGATTTAAATTTCTTATTTATTTAAATTAAACATTTTAATTTTTTTTTTTTTGTATGCCTCTTTTATGATTGTCTATTGTTGTCCACTGTTATCATCAGTCTTTGTTAAAGAAATCAGGTCTCTCCTGTAAATGAGTCCCCGTGGCTCAATGGGATTAATCTGTATAAATAAAAGTTGAATGAATGAAAAAAAGTGTGTTTAAAACACAAAAATGGCTTAAAGTCCACCAACTTTGCAAACAGTGACTTAAAATGTGGCGTGGTAGTAGCTGAGAGTCGTCCACTTTATTATTTAAGCTCTAACAGACTCCTACATGTTGTGTTAGTAAAATACTTGAGAACCGCTGGATGGATTTTAATAAAACTTTCAGAAAGTGTTTATTGGACATACATCTATAACTGATCACCTATTGGAGTCAAGCAAATTTAAGATGGTTGTCACAGCTAATCAAACTTTGTCAACACAAATAGTTCAGTTAAAATTTGACGTGGTAGTCGTTGAGAGTCATCCCCAACACACCATGTACCACGTTGTACATAAAGTTATTTTATAGTTTGTGGTTCTGAATACATATTACAGTTTATGTTACGAAAAACACTTTGTTGTTTTGCTTTTCAGCACAAAACTGCTAAATCTAATTTGCATAAACTTTTTTATTCTTGGAATACCAACGTTCAAAATGTCACCGGTTAAATAAAACGCACATTTTGATTACATGACACCAACAACAGGTCTGTTTTATTTCCAATAAATTATTTATTTTTCCACAGAAAATACAATCAGTGTCAGCTGGAGAATAATCATCACTGAGGCCAAGACTCACGAAGCAGCTGATTTTAATAAAAACCTTTAATCAAGCAGGTACCATTGGAAACATGATGCTTCAACATTTTAACATAAATTAAAAATAAACTCATAGTTGGAAGTTTAGGTTTAGTTTTGACCTTTGTTCAGAAAGGAGCAGGTTTTTTTTTTTTTTAAGAAACCTGTTGGTTTTCAGCTCACATCTTCTGCAAACTCAGAGCTCTGTCACTTTAAACCGGCACCACTCGTCCGTTTGTGTTGGCACCAGAGGTTGCCTTTTTGCCCGTCTCTTGTCAGATTCCACGTCCGTGTTGCTGATGGATGGGTCCCTGGCCCCGGGGCCTCCCCCAGGCGAAGATGTGATCAGATGTTCCTGCAGCAGGGTTTTTTCTCCTCCGAGTTTTCTGCTCTGGAGCTGTTCAGAGTCACGGCGCTGATGGAGCCCCGGACCACTTCCTTGCTGCTCACCTTCTTGTGAATCTCTGGAATGATCACATTTTATAAATTTACAGGGGTATTTATCATTGTTAGGGTTGTGTGGAGCAGTCAGTATCTTACCTGCTGCAACATAGGAAACAGATAAATTTCAAATCTTATATATTGTACGTATATTATACAGGTTAGCATTAAGCTAGCAGCTACTCAAAGTGGGAACAATTCCCTGATTCCATATGAAACTACTAAAATTTAAAACTTTACAGTTTCAGCAGACACCTTCATGTACCTTTATACTTTCCTCACATCACACCCAGCCAATACCATTTTGTATCAGTGCACTCATCACTGATGTTTATCTCACTATAACCAGTGATCCTAACCCTAATCTAAACCGAATTAGATCAGGAAATTACAGCAATTATTAAAAATGTATTGTTGTTTTTACAGCAATTATAGTTTCTTTAAAATGAGTGGTCCTAAAATACAAAGTTGGTGTGCTTGGATCATAAGTTGACAAAGGCAAATTTTCACCATATTAATACAAAAGACCAGAAGAGCGGTTGTAAATGCAGCATCGTGGTTGATAAAGCTGTTTGTATTGCTATTATGCGTCGGCTTAACTGGTCAGTAACAAAGTCTGAATACTTTAACCAGCAATAGTTGAGGTCACAAGCCTTCCCGATTCCAAAAGTTACAGTTAAAAGTTAAGACAGGGGTGAAAAGACGCATGAGAGTTGCTTTCTTTTCATGCCCAACAATAGCTGGCTACTAAGAAGCCAAATCTGCAAAAGTATAAAATAGTGAAAACACAAAGTTACAGCATGATGTTAGCATCCAGGGCAGACAGTTAGCATAAATGCTGTTTGGTTTAGCAAAAAGCAATAGCTGAAACTGCAAGAACTGTTTTAAGTTTAAATGGTTTGTTTTGGTTGTTATTAAATGGTTGTTTAAAAGTTTGCAATGGTGATAATTCATGGTTGAATTGTTTCTGCTTAAATGATGGATTGACTCCACTAGACTTTCTCCCTCGTTCTTCAAACAGAGATCACGCCGATGACCGTCTGCTGCAGATAAGATACTGACTGCTCATAGCTATGTCAAAGCCAAACCAAAGAAGGATCAATCCTTTTGCCCGCTTCTTCCTTTTCAGGTCATTGGTGTCCATATCCAGCTGTCACTGTGCGAGAGGTGGGGGACACCCTGGACAGGTCTCCAGTCCATCACAGGGACACATGGAGACAAACGAGACAAACAACCATTCACACTCTCACTCACTCCTAGGGACAATTTAGAGTTACCAATCAGTCTAACACGCAGGTTTTTGGTCTGTGGGAGGAAACCGGAGTACCCGGAGAAAACCCACACATGCACGGAGAGACCCAGAATGGACCCAAGGCTGGGATTCAATCCAGCGACCTGCTTGCTGAGAGGCAGCAGCTCTACCAACTGAGCCACCGTGCCACAAGAAGCCAAATCAAGCAGCAGAATCAAACGACCAGCAGACACGATTACCTGCTAAGACCCTGCTGAATGCTGCTTCCACATTGGTTGACTGCAAGGCGGAGGTCTCCAGAAACAACAAGCCCTTCTTTTCTAAATGACACCAACAGAATTTGTTTGAAAATGCATGTTATTCATTAACGTTCTGTCACATGGTGTTAAAATAACAGAAGGAATGCAACAGCTCACTGTTTGCTGAGCAGAACCTCAGACTGATTGATTTTCTGTACCTGCGAAGTCTTTAGCCTCCTCCATGGGCACGGATCTCTCGGACTCCAGGTCGGACTTGTTGCCCACCAGCATCACCACGATGTGGGGGTCGGCGTGTTCGTACAGCTCCTTCAGCCAGCGCTCCACGCTCTCGTAGGTCAGGTGTTTGGTGATGTCAAAGACCAGCAGGGCTCCGACGGCTCCTCTGTAATATCTGAAAACAGGACGCTGACTTTACACCGAACCCTCACTTTCTTAACCGCCACATGTTTGATGAAAAGAAAACGCCGCTGCCTCAAAATGAGCAACAACCTGTAAATAAGCTTCAGCAGTTCTGTGGAAACAACTGAGCAGCTCAGCCGCTTTTTATGGACTGACATTAACTTGTGTTGAGAAAAGACGGGAGTCACACTCAGACTCACTCAGAGTGTGTGTTGGGAATGACTCTCAGCTACTACCATGCAACACTGTAGCTCAAATTCTGTAAAAATCAAACGTTTAAGCTGCAAATCCAATGACTGCTTTCCGAGGTGATATTCCAGTTATCAGGTGGTTCACCAGATATTTTGCTAACAAACAGATTTGACTTCAAATATTTAATGGCCAAAGTTTAAGCAATGGAACTACCATCAAAACTTAGCCCAGTCTCTGTAAAACTGATAGTTTTGATATTTTCTGTTTCTTTAAGCTTAGTTGGTTCAGCAACCATATTGAATTGGGTTAATTCAAAAAGCTACGGCTAAGTATTTCACTTGATAAAGATCACAGATGAAAAAATATCTAGACAATAACTGTTTATTAATAATATTTTATTCCTCCTCGATTTAAAAAGAATTAACGAGCACCAGTTGTGCTGAAGACATGAACGAATAAATTACATTTCTGCTCCCTTCTTGCAGCAGCCTAATTAATTGCATTTTAATGGGTTTTAGCTGGTTGTTACAGGATAAATGAGAAATTCCACCAGAGTGGGAATTTGCACACTGGAGTAAGTAATTACTCCCCAAAAAACAGGCAGACAAGAGAAGAGCTGTTCCAGCGGTGACGCTTCTTTTCAGATTCCTTCATGTCTGAAAACTGAAACTGACTCAGCTTCATTGTTCAAACCAGTTTCCACTGATAATCCTTCCAGTTTAATTAAAAAAGGAAACCAGCGGTGTCTTTTAGACAGAGCGGAGGCTCACAGAGGGCTGTGTTCACACATTAGGGCAAGCCCTTTGTGTATTTAATAAACATGAAAGCATCTTTAAAAGTGCCACAAGTTGGCAAAAAATTATTACTAAAATGAGTGTTTGTGTGTGTGTGTATATATATATATATATATATATATATATATATATAT